TCCAAGGCTAGATCATCTTTTACTGGTAGCATGCCAAAGTAGGATTTATTTTCAACAATATTTCATCTTGCCAGTCTTTCCAACCATTTCAGGCATCCTCCCTCCTCCCCTATTTATGAAACTATATATACAGCTTTCCTATGAGAAAGCAGCTGCTTGAAAATGCTTGTGAATAACACGCAAGCTAACCTCCAAGTTCAAAACTGCCAGCCATGCAAGAAGTGTGCAGAGTACAGACTTCGGCCGAAGCATTCGTCATGTTGTCCAGGCATCTGTCAGCTACCATATATCAAGGCTTTCATTTATCTTGTGCAACTTCCATCGCCAAACTAAAATATACATACACAGATTTGTATACAGAGAACGTGAACAGAGCTCACGAAGGAGTATTGTTGAATGCTGGAGTGAAATGTGTTTTGTGCAAATAAGCTGTGAGAAACAAGGCAGACGTTTCTGGATGACAGAAGTTACAAACATTCGAGATTAGAGTATGAGGGAGACAGTTTGGTAGTTCCCAGTGCTTTGCTCGTGTGGCTGACGGCTCTGGGAGTGCAGAGTGCCTGCCTGGTAGGGAATAACATTATGTATAAGAAAACATGTTTGGATAGAAAAATGCTGTGCTCCTTTTAGGGAAATATTTGCAAACCCTTTGTAAAATTTGGGGCATCGGTGTTAAATAGTGCTCTACACGGGCAATACCAGAATTATTCCAGACAGACAAAAATCCACGCCATTTACAGTCATATCTTCTCCTCGACACGGGGGCTTCATTTGGGACTCACGGGCAGCTCAAACACAATGAAATGGCCTAAAACAGAGAAGAGAAGCATAAACCGAGCAGAGACCAGGCGGCGAAGGATGACATTAGGTCGGAGCCCTCCCGGGTCAGATCCCAGCTGGTCCTTGTGGGTCGCTGGGCCACCCCAGAGATTTCCTCCACTCCATCCCTCGTGGGCAGGGGCAGCAGCGGGGGGGTTGTTACTTGGTGCCAAGCCAGTCGTGGGGTGCAGGAGGTGCCCTGGGCAGGAACGGGGTCAGGGACCAGGATTTCTACATAGCCTCGTGGGTGCTGTACAGCAAGAGGGGTGCTTGGGTGCCTAGTCAGAAACAGTTAGAAGGGATAACTGATTAAATCACTCAACAGACATGAATTCAGCATTGCTTTCAAATTACCTGTCAACAGCTTTATCTATCTATCTATGTATCTATCTATTCTGTCTGTCTGTCTGTCTGTCTGCCCCTCTGGTGGGCAGAGTCCTGCATGCATGCAATTCTATAGGCACCGGCCAGGCAGCATCCCACTGCTCAGAGTCAGGATTCTGCAGCAGCTATGAAAAAAAACAAGCAAAGGCAGGGAAAAAAAAAAAGTTGCACAATTCCTTTTCTTGAGAATAAGGGCAGTTAGTTGAGCTCTCCAGCATGGCACTGACAAGATGAGACAGCTGCCTTAGAGCCAGTGTGTTCAAACATGCTGCTGTTATCCTGTTACATGAATCAAAACCAGCACACACCAGCTTTCATCTGGATTTCATTATTGTGATTTATATCATAGAGACTGTTGTCTCGCAGGAAGCAACAGTATTCTAACTTGGAGGGGGAGATTCTTATCAACAGGACAAAATTGACAAACCTTTCTGTTTAAAAATAGCTGTACCTCCTTACCATTTTCAGTTTTAAGCTGTCTGCTTATTCTTAAGCCTTTGAGTGCTTTGCTTTAAATAAAATCAGAAGAAGAAAAAAAGAGCTTTTCTCCTAAAAAAGAATTTAGCTGAATTCTGGCAAATCTCCCATGGGCTGGAGGAGTCCCAGGTAAAACAGACGGTGCCTGCAGAGCGGCCATGGGGAAAGGTGCACTCCGGGGGGCTGCTGCTGCTGCTATGTGGCAGAGCCCGGGGCTCTTCCCCTTGCGCAGTGGCCCCCAGAGCTGGGGTCACGCCAGCACCTACTTTTTGGAGGTGAAAGCAACTGAAGCTTTCTGTCCAGCATAAATTCTGTGCCCTTCAGCTGAGTCCGGATGTCCTCCCTCCACTGCTGTAGTCTTTCTGCTGCAAAGTGGTTTCTGTCGTGCACATGAGGTTTGTGCATGGTTGCATCCTCCTCCATGCAAGGGAGGGTGATTACCTGGGGAGAGCCAAAGGCAAGTCTGCCAGAAAAAAATGATCATTTTGAGGGAGATAATTAAGATAAAACCAAGGAGGTCCGTGGTAATGGAGAGCAAACAATGGGCAGTTGGGTTTGCAGTGAAGCATGAAATAAGGTGTCATGTAGCTTTGCACAGTAGCACCAAGCTCACTCCTTCTAGAATTGCCCAATACAACCAAAAAATGCTGGTAGTAACTGAAATAATCTTTGGATTACAGGAGGTAACCTGTATGTGCTCTTGACTCTGTAAGAGCAGCATGGACCAATGTTTCTGTACTTAGAGTAGGAGGTGGCACTGGTCTGAATTATATTAAGTGGCTTGTTTCAATAGTCCTCTTACGGCAGTACTAAGAGGAACCTTCTTAGTAACACATGAAACATCCAACATATCTGTGTGTCCGAAGCACCAACTTGCTGATGGTCCTCTGGCCACAAAACCAAGGAGCAGGCAGGCAGCAACATCTCAGGGAAAGAAAAGAGAGGGGTAATTGGTAAGATCTTCGTTCTTCTGCTTCGGAGGGCTGGGCCCTTTCAGGTGAGATGAAGCACGTGAGAAGCTGTGGGTGACAAAGAACCATGGCCACAGGGTTGTGTGCGTACATCCTTCCAACTTCAGCAAAATTAAAACCAGGCAGACCCACTCATTCAGTTGAAGCCTTTCCCTCTGACCTTGGCTAGGGCAAGTTTCTCCTCCTCCCGGTCTTTTCCTCTCTTCCTTTTATTCAGTCATGGTAGCGCGTTGCCTGCCTCAGCGTCAAGACAGCGTATGAATTTTTAACCTCAATGGCACTGCAGCATCCGCCTGGACCTGCACTCAAGCTCATCCATACGCATGCAGGATAGCAGGAGTGGCTGAGGAGGGTTGATGTGGCTTTCTCCTTTTTGACGATTTCTTATAACTGGCAGTTTTTTGTAATAGGACTGAATTTCCTTAATAAATTATCCCCTTTACTGAGCGAAATTTTGACTGGTGCTTAACATGTAACTGTGTTAGTGGGGGCTCACAAGCGTTTATACTTATGACAACAGCACGCAACTGTTGCGCGTGACATGCCCAGCAGAACTACCTGCCAGGACGTAGTGGGGAGCAATTGATCCGGACAGATGTTGCTTCTCATACCTGCAAATCAGATAGATAGCAGAATGGCGCACTTTATAAAAGGTGTGTATGACCATAACAACACCCTGTGGCAAGAAGTTGTTTTTTTCCTCTCTTACTACAGTGTGTTTACCTCAAATACTACTGTGTGCTCTTCAGGGGAAACACATGCTCCGCTTTCTTTTAAATTCCTGTAATTATCCATTATGTCAGTACCATATCTCCTAAATAAAGTGCAAGAAAATTTAGGTATATTTTACTCCCCTTTTTGCTCATTTCGCATCCAGACAAGAACATGATCCCGTAACAAGAGTCGTCCAATTGCTCTGTAGAGCCATTGCACTCTCTCCTACCCAAAGCCCGTCCATATACTATTTTAATTAGTGAAAAAAAACCCTGCAAGCATATCCAGTCAGTCTTTTTTTGGCTGATTTAGATTTCCCTGAGGATATAATACAGCGAGGCTCCATTTCTCTAAAGGCATAGCATGCAACAAGTGTTTTGAATGCCTCTTTCCACCTCTTGTTTAGCGTTAACAGTCCTTTGCCATAATACAGGTTAACCACAAACAGAAATTAGAAGGGGAAAATTATTTTACTGGAAGGAGAATACACTGCACTGCAGACTGCTGCTCTCCCACTGCTGGTGCTTGAAGCTGGCTGAGAGCTGGGTGCCTGGGGACCAGGTTGTCCCCTGGGCTGCCCATGCTGGGAGTCTTCTCTGCTCCTGTCCGAGGGGCAAAGACCCAAAGCCAGGAAGAGAATTGGCACGTACCCAAAATTAAGGTTGGTTTGTTGTTCAGCTAATAGATTTTGGCCAGGAGAGTGATGACAGAGATTTGGGTAAAATGCTTTGTGGATAAAGACTGAAGGAATGAGAGAAGTGCTGCACACCCATAGATGTGATCACTGGCATTGCGGTACTGGCCGGGAGGACCCTCTGCTTCTTGGGGAAATTCTTGAGGTGACAAAAAGGAATAGCAAGTGCAATGTAAAGGAAATAGACCATACACTTTGAATGTTGTCCTAACTCAGTATTTTTGTCCATTTATTGCCTAACATCACAGAATCACAGAACGGTAGGGGTTGGAAGGGACCTCTCGAGATCATATAGTCCAACTCCCGTGCTAAAGTAGGATCACCTAGAGCAAGTTGCACATGATCATGTCTAGGTGGTTTTTTGACTATATCCAGAGAAGGAGACTCCACAGCCTCTCTGGGCAGCCTGTTCCAGTGCTCTGTCAACTTATGACAGCATTACTATCTCGCACTCTACTGAATGAGCTGTTGCGGTGGCTAATTAGCTATTTTATCACAAATATACACTATGGCAGTCAAGAATTTGTACCAGCAGTTCCTTTGAAGAATCAATTTGAGAGAAACTCACAGTATGTCTCAGAACTGCATAGACATACACACACAAAATCTGGTCATCGAATCGGTTATTGTGACGATTTTTTTTTGGTTTAACAAGACTTCTCAGCTAGGTTTTATCCACCCACATTTAGCAGTTCTTGGAGGATCCTAATAAGGTATGTGTGGTTTGGGGCTTGTGCTGAACAGTTGTCTCAGATTTCAGGTCACTTGTTCTGACAGAGCAGTCACAAACAAATTGTTGTCTTAATTCAGACTTAATTTTCCCCTCTACTGAAAGAATTGGGACCGACTGACACCTGTTTGGTATTCCTTGCTTTTGGGAATCAAGTGATCGTGTTTGTTACAAACTAAAAGAGCAATTCTCTCTTGGCCATGTGTTACAGACCACAGTCATAGACTATGTGAAGCCATCAGATCTCAAGAAGGACATGAATGAGACCTTTAAGGAGAAGTTCCCTCACATCAAGTTAACCCTCAGTAAAATAAGAAGGTACGTTGCAAAGCTTGGTAAGGCTGCAACATCCTGCAGCTGTCTCACATTTCATTGCAATTGCTGCTGTACATGAGAGGAAGCACAGGACTGATTGATCTTCCAGGAGCAGTGGCCAGCAGAGGTGCAGAATAAGTCAGGTGATTGCTTTGATTAGTGGGCTGAGTAAACAAGATAGGGGAATGTACACACATGCACCCATCAAGTGTCAAACACAGCATCTAATGGGATGAGGATGTGAGCTGGGCATGTGTTGTACTAAATATCCAGAAAAATAACACAACAGAGCCTCTACGCTCATGGCAATTAGCTTAAAAAGAGGGTGAGGAAAGAGAAATGCTGAGTTTTGTGCCTTGTCCAGAGAGCACAGCCAGAAGCAAAACACATGGTCAAGCTTCACAGCAAAGCTGTAGTATTTCATCACTGTTTCCAGTGTAGCAGGCTAGACACATTGCTTCACCGAAGTAATGATAATTTAATTTGACTGAAGTGGCCAGAAGGATACTGAGTCGTGTTGCTCTGTAACCAGACAATTCTGCAGTACATGAAAAGAGTGTCGCTTTGGATTTGACCAACCATAACCAGCAGTAAAGCTGCATATAGAGCACAGGCAGTCAAGCTGTTGTTACTTAATAAATTGCATGCAGCTTAAAACCTTTGATGAAATAATGTTACTAAAAATGTCAGAGCTTTTCACTTGCTTTTGTAGTTCGATGCAGCTGTCTATTGGGGGCAGTGAGGAGGAAGGGTGAGGACAAAATGTGCCATGAAATGTGTGCCCAAAACAGAGCATAAAGATATCTGCCCAGTAAATTACGTTTTCCTTTTCCCCTCCATTTTACTAAGCAGGAATCTCTGAAAGGCTGACTCTTTGGGTGAAATGAGAAATGCTTTAAAACGCAGTTCACAGCATACTTGTCTGGTCTCTTTACTCAGCTTGAAGAGAGAAATGCGCAAGCTTGCTCAAGAAGAATGTGGTTTTGAAGAGCCCACGGTGGCCATGGCCTTTGTCTACTTTGAGAAGCTCGCTCTCAAGGGGAAGCTGAACAAGCAGAATAGAAAGCTTTGTGCTGGAGCCTGTGTTCTTCTAGCAGCCAAAATTGGCAGTGACCTCAGAAAACATGAAGTCAAGCATCTTATAGATGTACGTATCCATAGGTTTCCAGTGTTCCTTCTACGTGAAGTGCCCCTGTGTGTTCTATGCAAGCCTGCTTGTCAGTGGTCATGCGCTCCTCTAGGTTTCCAGCTGTACAGCCAGCTAAATTTTTTTTTGTTATACATTTATATGGAAATCGTAGTGAACAATGGCACTGCAGAGGCATGGGAGGCTCCTTTGATGTGATTGAAGACCCTGGTGTCAGATACTGTGAGGTCTGAGAGTTATCTGACCACCATTCTGCCAATATAAGTCAAAAGTTAACCCTCATGAAATTCATTTTGCTTTTAATTATGTTTTCAAGAGTGTCAGTAAGGACTCTCCTTTGAGAGGTAAATACAGATACTAATTTCAGAGGGAGTCTAATGGACTACCAAGCTTGTATTTCTTTCATCAAGTTAAGCTTTTGGGCAGGCAAACCTAAAGAAGTGTTCCCATTAGAACACCTCACCCCAGCTGTTTTTTTATAGAGTAAGGTGTTTGGTCTTCCACTCACTCCACTCACTGCACAAGAAAGAGTTAACAGAGGGGCGTGTTTTTCCATAATCCATTTGCAAGCACGGAGATACCAATCTGATTTAATGCTACAGAAATTTAGGGCAGGCAGCTGGGTACGTGGCTACCACCAAGTCACTTAGTTCAAGAGAGATGGAAACTTGGTTGTGGGGCAGAACTGGACTCATGCCCTTCCGCCACAGGCACACAGCTGGGTTGACAAGTCAGTTTGGTAGAAAGCCCTCCGAATAACCAGAAAAAAAAAAAAATCAACCTGGTGGGAGTTGGAAGATCTGGCCTCTTTTGCTATCCTGAAAGGATTTGTTCCATCCTTAAGTCACATTGAGCTTTTCAGTAGACCCAGTGAGCAGAGAAGGAGCAAGCCAGGGAGATCATGAGAAGTGGACAGGGATGGGAAATATCCCTGAACAGCTGGTTTCCTATTTGTAGCATCCAAATCCAGTGAAAACAGCAGAGTAGATGGGAAGTTTAGTACATTACAGCAGAAAGCCAACTATGAAACCCATCTCATCCCCCTTGAGGATAGTAGTTTCTATTACTCACTGTTCTTATGGTTGTTGCAGATGACACCTTCTGCCTCTGAGGTATTAAGATCAAGTGTATCTAACTGTAGCAGAAATAATTTCCCCAATAGTGTGTTGTAACACAGCCTAATGCTGAAAGGAAAATTAGTGATTTCAAGCAGTGCAGGAAGTTTGCAGGCAGTTACGAGACGCGTGTCTTCCATTACACAAGTTATTTCGATGTTTGCATGAAGCCAGGAGTTTCCTCTTCCTGCAGTGGTAATCACTATGATCGTTAGAAGATGTATCTGCTGGAGATGGAATGAGTGAAAGGGCAAACATGTCAGAAATAGCATGGCTGGCTGAGCTTTGTAAGTTCCCCTTCACAGTAAGGAATCGGTACATCCAGTTCATCCTGCTCTCATTTTCTAAACTTAGAGCCATGCAAGTCCAGCAGGGCAGAGGTTTAATGACAGCACCACGCTTGTTTTGAATAATGTAATCTGTAAGAAAGCACTAGAAAGTCAAATCCTCATTGACAAAGACTTCCCCCCACCACCCTTGTCTGTCACTGCAGAAACTGGAAGAGAAGTTCCGGCTGAACAGGCGAGAGCTGATCGCCTTCGAGTTCCCGGTCCTGGTGGCCTTGGAGTTTGCTCTCCACCTTCCCGAGCACGAAGTGATGCCGCACTACAGACGCTTGGTGCAGAACTCCTAGCGCTGGCTGCCCTGCGGGGAAGGGGCTCCTGACTGTTCCCGCTTGGCTCTCCTGAGCCACAGTTACTACTGGAAATGCAAAATCAGACTCCTAACACTTCACTCTCTCTCTCTCTCCCCCAGAACAGTATTTCCGGCAACATATAGGAAACACTGCGTTGACGTAAGACTCTCAGCTTTGACAAATTTATGTATCGTTACCTTCTCAAAGCAGGTGAAGACTGAGCTGTTGGTAAATGGTTAACATGCTGAAACTGGGTGGTGACTGACCCTACCTGTGGGGACTACAGCTATAAAAGTAGGCAAAAATTTGAAGGGCAGCCTCCATGACCACCCCTCTCTCCATCACACAAACCTTGGAAGCCCACGTGAGTGCATTCTCATAGCGCTTTTTCTACAGACCTGCTGCAGCTTCCAAGAGGACTTCTTAACGTGAAAAAGCTTTTAAAGAGGATATCTTCACTGTGTCAAAAAGAATGTGCCAATCTATTTTTGTATCAGCAATTGAAAGTGCACTTTTTCCTGTGGGGTGTTTGTGTGTGTATCCGTGTGTGTGTGCGTGTGCGACACCGAACTGATCTCAGTCCAGGTGGTTGGCTTAGCTGTTTCCGAGTGTATCAGTTACCGATGGCGAAGGTCAAGGTGACCTTACGTGTTTACTTCTTGAAAAACATAACTACTGGAAAAGCAGTAAATGGGATCATTTTTGGACACTTGTTTTTTTTATTCTCTGATCTTTCCAACATTGTACCTTTGAAAGGATTACACTACTACTACTACTCTGAGAGAAGGATCAGCAACTGACCTTGAGTTTTCAGTCATGTTTGTGATAAAGATGAAAGCCTTGGTATGAGATTTCCATGTCATGTTTTTTAAAAATATCTTGTGTTAAGCCACATGCATATTTTTAACCTTCGCACTTTTCCCACTGTGGAGATGGTTAGACTTGCACTCTGTAGTGTTGTATTTCTGTGCTCTATGTTAGAGTGCATAATAAGCACATTTATTGTGCTGTATCTTAAAACAGTGTTTTATTAAAAAAAAAAAAAAAAAGAGTAGGGCTCAGCAGTATAACAGGTGTCTTAAGGCTCCAACAGCAGGGGCATCAGCTATCGTTGAAGTTTTTGGTTTTTAACTAGAATTGACTGTGCAAAACCTAAAATCAGTGCCCATTGAAGTTAAAAGGTCCAGTTCCTTTAGACATTTCAGTACTGGAGTTTTACAGTCAAACTTCTTGCAGCTTCCCTGGTTCTGACTGGACACCCAGAAAGCCGGAGGGTTTCATCCAAGCTCCCCGATGCTACATACACACTAAGCTAGCGCCATGCTTACGGACATCATTCAGTTGTTGTTATCCTGTGGGATTACACCCCTGTCCAATCTTCTCCTGTGCTAGTTCACTTAATAAGCCTTGCCCTCGACATGCCCCACACGGATCTGGTAAAGTCAAATACTTACAGTTATGGTATTTATAAAAAAAAATTAAAATCTCAAGCATGAGATTTTAGCTGAAGCCTTACCTCTCTAAGTTTGGGAGTGCTTGCTCAGAGTATGGAAAGGGCTTGTGAGCAGAGTGTAGAGAAGTGGGACATACCAGAGGATGTAAACACACTAATGCTTTTTTTCGCTGTTAATCAGTTTTATTATTTCCTTCAGTTAGGCCAGGAAACATCCAGTTTCTTTACCAGCTTTGGCTCCTTTAAATTCTAGTATGAAAAACGCCTGCGTATGATTGCTCTATAGGATCTGGAAAGGTTACACATGTCAGGACAAATGGGAATTTGTTTGATGCTGTTGCTCTTCCTCCATTTTAAGGGGGAGGGTGACTATGCTAGCTTACAGTTATTATTAATACTTACCTAATTACTGATTAGATACATTCCAACAGGATTGGGGAGGAGGGGGTAAAGAGAAAAGCGTGCACTTACCTCCCTGGTGCAACACCCCACACTGCTGCAACCCACGCGTCACTTGGCTGGCTGCAGAGTGAGGGGAGGGGAGGGGGGCCCTCACCGGCACTCTTGCTCCCTCCTTCTCCTCCTCCCGGCCCCTGCGCAGCCAAGGAACAGAGAAGCCAAGAGCCTGGGGCGCGCCTAACGCCTACGGCTGCCCTGCCGGTTTATTCAACCCGAAACGGCAGTGTAGTGTTGACCTAAAAACCAGAACGGTCTGCAGGTCTGCCAGGAGGGCTTCCATCCTTGGCCACATCCCTTCCCACCGAAATCGTGTATATACGTTCAAGATTTGCTTCTGATTGCAGAGATCTGTTTCTAATAGCGACCACTCAAGGCTGAGCAGAAGCTTTACCTTTCTGTAAAGGCTTCTACCTTTTGCTTTTGAGTCTGATTTTTTTTTTTTTTTAATGTTGCTTTATAGTATTGCAGGGAAAAAGCAAATTGTGATTGCAAGATGCAGACTAAAGAATGACAGTCTTACAGTAGTCTTTAGAGACGCTATTGAATCACGCTGTCACATCTTTTGTCTTCTGTGCTGCTACCCAACCCTGATCTACAGTTTACACAGATTTCTGGGAAGAAATCTGATTGCTGGAGACTTCCTGCTTTTTGTTGTTGTTCTTGTTGTTGTTGTTTTGGGGGCAGGAAAGGGTTTCAGAGTGATGTTCAGTTACAGTTTGAATGTGGACTTAAGTTGAAACACTTAAGATGGTGATGATGTTGCACTGTTCACTTAGGAACGTATATAAAGCCATATGATGCTAGATCTTGGAGCACAAAGCTTGGTCAGTACAGTTATGGTTAGGACAACGGGCAGGATTTGCCCCCCTTTTCTCCCCAACCCTGGGAAAATTCAGGCTGAAGTGGTAGAGGAAATCTGTACCAAACAAAAACCATGTTGATTGTTTGCCTTTGTCTTACATGGTAATGAGTGTTGATTTACAAATGATTTTAGGTTCAACTTTAAATAGTTTGGGAAAATAATCCATTCCATATCACTTGTTCTGTTTTGAAATTATATACCATACACTCTACCATGCAGAGTTTATTTCTTTTCTAAAAAAATAAATAAAAGTTTAAAAAAAAAATTGAAAAACCTAGACTCTTTTCCACCAGTGACAGTATGTAAAATTATTCCATTCTCTCATCTGTATGTGTCAAATGGTTTTGGTTTTGTCTTCCTCTGGGACATAAAGCTGCTTATTAATAAGCTGGTGACGGGATTGCCCGAGGGTCCTCGCCATCTCCTGGCATCTGTCTCCCTGCAGAGCCCCCACTTCCTCCAGCCAAGATCTTCACTTCTTCTTCTGAGACCATTGGGGTTTTTGTTGGGGTTTTTTTTTTCTTATTTTTATTTTTAAGCCCTTCTTTTTGGCAGCAGCTGCTCCTGGATCCACCGGGCCCTGGTTCTCCCAGTCCACACTGTTGGTGTGCAGAAGGACGAGGCGCAAGCAGGCTCCTCAGCATTGCCCCTGTCTCACAACCCTTGGTTCACTGTAGAGTTTGGGATACACCACTTCAGTTTAGTCCAGGTGTTAGTAAAATTTACAACTGGCCCCCATACCAGTTGTAGTTCACAAGCAGCCGCTTTCGCTTGAGAGGGCAAAAGTTCAATTTTGGACATTCACATGCGTGCGCGCACCCAATTATCCACCACCTATTTACATTCAACCTATTTTTTGCCACTTACAACACCCCCTAAACCCAACACCTAGCTAGGCCTATCTAGGGCAGATGGTCTCGCCAAACAGCACCCATTTATTGTGCAATTTCATTCTACATTAATAAAGGTACGCTAAAGTTTTGGCTCCCTGCCTCCACCCATCACTGTCTGGGTTCCCTAGAAACCCTCAGCTGTAAGTCATATTTCGGGCAGTATGAACACCAGTTGGATTTACACAAACCCCAGAACATACAAATAAACAGAAAAAATGCTTTACTAATCACTTTCCAAAACTACTCACAATGGCTTCTTTGGGATAGTGTGTAACATCTTTAAATGATGTAACTTCAGCTAATTGTTCCAGCCCCATCATGTGGAGCCCACAGCATAAGCCTTCCCTGGAAGCAGTGAGGAGTAGTTTGTTAGGAGATGATAACACCTTCCTACGACACTAAAGGGTTTTGGCACCAGGCGCCACATTAAACACTTGGGAAAAAAAAAAAAGGTAAAAGCTGTTTAGTGAAGTGAGAGACTGAGCAATCACAGCAACGATGCCAACACTACTAGCTGAGGCTGAAGTCTGTCCCAAGTTGCACCTTTGGGCAGGTGGGGAATAGCGTGGGATGTGGATTTGAGCTTAATTTGTTCATCTTCTATTTTAAACTTTGTAGTGAAGGGGAAAAAATGAGGAAAAAGAAACTTCAGGTGCACCCCTTCGAAGAAATGCACACAAGCAAAAAGGTCTTTCTGAAACTGTAAACCTTGTTCCTTCTCACCACCTTCACTGTGAGCCCATACAGCCAGAGACTCCCTGCCTCGGCCTGGAGCCTGCTGATCTGGATGAGCTCAGAGGAGAGCTTTTCAGTCACTATAAACTAAAAAAATGCCTTGCCTAGACCCCAGTGGCAAATGCCAAAACCTAGAGTGAGAGAAGTAACATTGCTAGGAATGCGCAGGCACTATGATCCTGGAAAATGGCCTGTATACCTTCAAAGCAAGGTGGGGTGGACCAAGAAGTTGCTGCTGACTTGAGCAGCAAATGCTTCCTTCACTTAGTGAGAACTAAATATTGGCTACCATCAGAATTTAATTTACCTTTTCTGTGCATGCCTGCCAACAGCTGGAGGGTTTTTACTCTGGAGAGTTGACTGGGAGAGCAAGAGGACAAACAGAAGAGGAGCATATGAAGCCTGGTTTATTTACAAACCAATATTAAATCCCCTGTGTTCACAAGCAGAGACTGGTTTACCAGGAATGGCTTCTGTTCATTGGTTTAGGAGAGGGAATATTGGGATTTTCTTTTAGATTTCAGACTGAGTTTTAGACAAGCTTTTCTTCAGCACCTGTAGAGGCTGGAGCCTTACAGCAAGGAAAGGTTTGGAGACATCTGGACTACATCAAGCCACCTGTTTCTCCTCTGTTGCCACACCAGTTGCTTTTGTTGCCCACACAGCTTGCACGGTGCTGGGTTTTTGCAAAGGACAAAGGCATCGTGTGGCAGCACAAGAATGGCATTCGCAACATCGACTTTTAGTCTCTCATACTACAACGCAAAAGGGTCCCTGTACTGGTTCCTAAATTTCTGCCCATCTGTTTGCATATGAGGAAGCTCTAGGCATGCACAGGTCTTGGCTCGTTCTTCTCTCACACTTAGCCAATCATCGCATACACGCAAATTAAAATAAAAAGCAGGTAAGATGGCAAATCTCAACATATTTCTAGAATGCTTAAAAAAAAAAGAGCAAGCTTACCAAATGGTAAGCACAAGAGATGCTTTACGTGCTGGTCTGCTCCCCCCTTGCAAGAAGCTCAGGTGGCCATCCCCGGCTGGTAAAGCTGCAGAGTCTGGACAGCCTCCTCCACCCTCCCCCAGTTTGACATTGCCTTGACTGAACAGCCACTCTGGATGGGGAGGGGAGATAACGTACCAGGAAGAGACTCAGAATCGCAGAGCTGAACAGCCTGACACGCTGCGTGAGGGAGGGCAATTATAAATATGCAGAAAACAATGGGAGTCTGATTTCCGGTGGCAAC